AAAATAGCCTAGTCAATAACAATTAGAGATTCACATCCCTGGAAAATCAGATAATCCCAGAGGAGGGTGGAGAGGATCCTCTAGCCCAGCATTCCATCGAAAGGGGCTGCAGCCTCTGTGCCCATTTCCAAGACTTTGACATTTTTTTTCACATTTTTTTCTGGGATGAAGATGACTGACGTTTAAGCAGCTCTTCTTTAAATGGGGGTGGAGGGTTTGGGGACAGGGATTCACAAAGCTCATGAGAATCACATCAGAGCCTTTCAGTATTCGCCACTCTCTCAGATGCTACTTTCCATTTCAGGTTTTCATTATCTTTTAACTTCGGTGAGCTCCTCACCAGTTTCCCTGGCTTTTATTGAGTGATTTCTTCTAGTGCTTCTCCAGTTTCAATGTGCATATGAAACGCTTGGACTAAGATGCAGCTTCTGAGTCTGGAGGTCTGAGTAGGGTGAGGCTACATTTTTGATAAGCCCCCAAACGAGGCTCATGCTTGTGGTCTTTGACTAGCAAAGATGTGTGCCATATGCAATTTTTAGAATGCCTGCTATGTGCCCCGTGCTCAGTAAACGTGGAAAAGAGGGATAGGGAGGGAGGTGACGAGAAATGAAATAAGATGGGTATGGATTCAGATACTGAAGTGTGATAATCATTATAATATTATTTAGTCCTCAGGAAGCTGAATACAAAGGTTATTACCTTCCCAGAATTAAAAAGCTAAATTCGAAGCTAAATGCAAGGGTTATTACCTTCCAGAATTTAAAAAAAAAAAAAAAAAACTTTCAAAAAGATTTTTAAGTCATTGGATAAGCTGATTAGCTTACTGTGGAAAGCTCTGCTTCTGTGTAATTATCTGATATCTCTCTTAACTTTCATTGCTTATGGTAATAACCTCGGAGGCCTGGAGGATGAAAGGACCAGCCAGCTTAAGTGCCGTGAGAACATTTATCTCTGGTAGACAATGTGAAAACACTCTTCAACCTGGAATTAAAATGTTTATTATCAACTGGTATTTCCCAGCTTTTGACCACTGGATTTGCTGTAACTCTCCAGCACTAATGCACTGCAGATCTATTAGAAATAGAGTATAATGAAAGAAACTACGAAGGGAAAAACTCAGAGTGAGCAGAAGGCTGAAATATGTTTTGGAAGTTTTCTTCTCACGTTGACCCCTCAGAACTGGAGGGCCAGTGGATACATGAACCAATGATTACTGTATAGAGTGACTAATGTTTTCATAGCAGGGTATGTAGGGAATTGTGGAAACGTAGCAAAGGGACGCCGAATTCATGTTAGGGTTGCAGAAAAGCTTCCTTTGTGAAAGGCACTTAGGCTGACTCTTGAGGGAAGCATAACAGTTAGCCGGGTGGACCAGGAGTGCCGGGGCCCCTAGGATGAGTGCACAGTACATGCAAAAGCAGGGAGACAAGGCCATGGTCCTTAACAAGGAGGAGCGCGACAAAGGAATGGCGAATGGATTGAAGGGGAAACTGCAGCTCAGGGGAGACCATGGAGCAAACAGTTGCAGTAGCCCAGGTGTGACATTGTGAAGACGCTGATTAGAAAACATTGGGCAATTTTTAATGAGCAAATGGTCCATAGTCACTCAAACTATGCCAATTTTCCCAATTCTTTGTGTGGAGAAGGCATGTCTGCACATTCTAGTTTCTGAAGGGCACCCATGTTCAGAGTTGAACCCACGCATGTTCACAGAAAGTATTTGGAATTTTTATAAGTGCGTCTTTGATGTGATTTTTATGAGCCGTGTTAATTTATTTCCGCATGAATAGCTTTAAGAGTGCCGCAATCTAAATCCTGTTTAAATTAGTTTATACTGTTTTCTGTTTTCTCTGTGATCTTTCCCCTGAATCCAGAATTGAATTTTCATTTGGGTATTGAAAATGACCGCTCCCAACACCCTCCTGTAGCCGTTCAGGGGGAGCTGCTGGCTTCGTCTTCATTTAATATAAAGTCACGTCTTACATGGCAACAGACATCGACTAGACTTAGCCAGTCGTACGTTAGCTAATGTTTTCACAGTTAATTTGAACGTCAGTACATCAGTCATCCACCAGCCCGCCTCAGAAAGTTCAGAAACGAGGATGAAATTGGGAGTTTTCAAAACTATGTACTAAGCCATATATATATGTATATATGAGATATATACAGTATATAATGTACATTTTATTTTATATATACTGAGAAAATGGAATTCTGCCTACTATTACTTGTTACAATGTTAGAAAGTCTCTTGCCTACTTACTTTTTCAGCTGTGTATTTTCAGTTGCTTAATCCTAAAATTGCTGTCTTTCTTTCTGAAAACTATCAATTAGCTCTAATCTGGTGAACTTATGCTTTAGGTCTAAGAGTGAAGAACGATAAAAATTGGCTCTTGGGTCATTCAAGGAGACATGCATTTTTACAATTTAAGTGTGTTCTTCCTGACAGTAAATTAGGGTATTTATGACCTGCGTAACCACAAGCAAGAGAAGAAAACACTGCGCCCATGCGAGGGTGAAAGAAAGATGGGACCCCGTTGCTCTCTCTCTCTTTCTCTCCTTGGAAGCCCCATAATGAAAACATCTAGGATTTTTCTCTGTGTTACATAGAGATGCAAGTCACAGCAAAGGCGAAAAATGGTCCATGAAGTCAGAGTTCTCTTTTCTGTTGTTGTTATTTTTTAAGAGGGGGGAAAAAAAAAGAAAAGATTTCTTATACGCATTAGGTTGATTTCTGCTGTCTTTTCGGAGGCCCATTCTCCTAACACATATCTGCAGAGAGGCAGAGAGAGGGAGAGAGGCAGAATTTATTCTGACTGTAAGGGTCGCAGTGGGGCTCCCACAAGCATAATGCTGAATTATGGGCCTCTCCACGGGTTGAACGCAGTGTTAAGTCGTGTGATGGATTCTCTCTTATACAAGCCGCTCTGGTCCATGAAATAAGAACCCCGTGCAGCTGGAGTTCATTGAGGGTTGAACTCAGACTGAAATTCCAGAGTTGACAAAACTGTGCAAACCAGCTGTGACACTGAACAAGTGCGCGCTCAATTGCGGGTTGGTTGAAATTGGCAAGGAAACTTGAGTCTTTCACGTGCAGGCCGCCCTGTGGGCCTTCCCCAGGCCACTTATCTCCTCGGATCAAAGCGTGAGGGCAGAAGGGGCAGGTTTGCCCAGGAGTAAAGCTTTGATCCCCAAGCCCAGACTGGCACCACCCAGGCGGGAGAGGGCCCGGGACGGTGGCCCATCCACAGCAGGATTTCCATCCTGGAGAATCCGCGGGCGCTGGGTCAAGCGACCCTGCCTTCACTCAGTGCAAGTACCTCCTGGGCAAGAAGCAGCCACAGCAGTGAAGTGCCCTGGTCTGAAAGGGGGCCTCTGGGAGAAAAGGTACTCATGGTGTTCCCACAGCGCTCTGCCAAATTCACAAAGCACTCCGCAAATGCAGACTTTGTATGGTGTGTAAAATACTAACAGCGGTGGTTGATTGTAAAACCTCTGGTGAGTAAAATAAAATAAAATTCCTTTACTAAATATGAATCACCCTCTGTCTGTTCATCTAGAGTGTGTATGTATGTGTGTGTGTATATGTATGCACACAATATATATTCTTATATATTGTGTGCATACATATACACACACACATACATACACACTAAATATGAATCACCCTCTGTTCATCTAGAGTGTGTATGTATGTGTGTGTGTATATGTATGCACACAATATATAATAATATATAAACAATGGAATATACACATACAGTGTATAAGGATGTCTCTGGTGTCTCTGGTGTTCCTCTAGTAGAGGGAACATGGTAGTCACTTAGTATTTGTCAGATGCATGAGAAGCATTTGAATCTTTTAGTCTAATTTTGCTTCTTAGTTTTAGAACTCAGATTCTACTCAGTTTACTTGGAAAATATAGGATTTTTAAAAAAATTTTTATTGAAGTATAGTTAATTTACAATGTTGTGTTCGTTTCTAGGATATTTCTCTTAAATCACATCTTTTCGGGGGTAAAAAAATAGGGATGAAAGGCTCGTCTCCTCAAGTTTGTCTGGAAAATACGCAGTAAGCCTTCAGCAATGGGATCAATTAATGTTGTAATAACTGACATACGGCTTCCACTTGCAGTTAACTTAATCTCCTTCAAACTTGCTTCTTCTCCACCTCCAAGTCAGTCGTAAAACACAGATCTATTCCAGTAACTATTTGCGAACGGGCAAGTATATTGATTTCTTTGAAATAAACTTTATCACTTATTTACAGGTAGAACCTCCCATCCCCTCCCCCCATCAACACACCCCTCAAACCAAGTTCAAATGGGTTTCCAGTAGCCTTCCAAGGCAAACACTGACCACCTCGGAACAGGTCCTCTTTCGTTGGAAACAAGGAAATATTCTAGTTTTCAGCCTAATCAAATATGTTCTATTAAACCTAAAGTGAAATTAGTTTTGAACTGTAGTAGTATAAGAATTGACCTATTCCTACTACCACCTTGGGAACAATATCTCACATCACAACCACTTTTAAAAGTAATTTAATCTGTCATCCACATCTTGACATTAACTCAGCAGATTCTAAGTCAGAAAACTAGTATCACCGTATGCGATTTCTGGTGAAAGAATAAAGAAATCAACTGGAGGCCAAATAGGTGAATAACTGTTTTTCGAGCCAGTCTTAAGAAGGAGAAATCTGGGTTTGGTGGAAGAGTGCGGTTGTACCATATTTCAAAGGATGCCCAGAACAGATCTTCTAAAACTGAGCTCATCGAGAGGGTGAACCACCCTTTGTTTCTTGGGTGGTTGTGCAGTGCCGTGGAGTTAGATGTGGGAAGACAAGCTAAGTGATGATGGAGCCATTAGTCGCAGGAAAGCTCACAAGGTCAAGTTCTGAAAACATATCCATTATGATGGACCGTGCTTTACCTTTAGAGAGGAACCAAAGTGAAAACCAAAATCTTTCCTGGGCGTGATTTGGACTTGGTGGTTTTGCATTTCCAGACGATAGCAAGTTTTCAGAGGCCATCACAGTGCTGCTGTCCTGGATTGAGCGAGGGGAAGTAAACCGGCGGTCCGCAAACCAGTTCTATTCCATGGTGCAGTCGGCCAACAGCCATGTCCGCCGGCTGATGAACGAGAAAGCCACCCATGAGCAGGAGATGGAGGAGGCCAAGGAGAATTTCAAAAATGCCTTAACCGGGATCCTCACTCAATGTAAGTAAGATTTGGGGGGGCCATCTCTTTTGTCACGACGTTGCCTTATGTACTCTTTTTTTTTTTTTTCATTTGGGGGTAAGTAGTCCCATAATTTCCCATCTTACTCCATATCGAATGGCAAAACCTCATAACCAATTTCATGTCCTGTGGCAACTTGGAGGAACACGGACCCCGCCCTGAGAGCTTACTTCTCAAGGTGAGCAGCATTTCTGTAGCTTTTCCTCAGAACACCTGGCCTGGCCCCCAGGGCGGGGCGGACAGACGCTGCTTCGGTGCCTGCTGGGCCCACTGCAGTTCACACCGCCCCTGCAGGGTGGCCACCCTCACGTGCGGGCTCTACACCCAGACCCTCACATCCTCCCCGTGCCGAGAGTAGAAGCAGCCCCTGAATGCACTGTCACGCGTTGTCCTTGGGCTCTGTTTAGAAAGAAGGTCAGAAAGACTCCTCACGATCCTTTATTTGAGGTGAGCCTTGGCTGTCAACACAGGCAACTCAGGAGTAGAGATTTTTCTGCAGTGTTATTTTTTGTCCTTTTTTTCATTTGGAAAGCAAATTGCCTGAACCACTGGATGCCGGTGATTTTTCACGTCCAGATCCTAAACTGATGAAAGGGAGTAAACGGGGCTTTTTCTCATAGAACAATAGTTAGGGAAATCACCCAGGGCTCTATTCAAAACAAAGGACATATATTTTTTTACGGGCACTCTGCGTCTGTAGTTAATGTCACAGTGGCATCACGCCTCACAGCTGCTCACGTGCCCCTTGCTTGGTAAAAGCTATTAAATGACACTCGTAACGGTGCCGCGCTCCATTCCACACCAGGTGCAGGACCCCGCACGGGATGGCAACATATGCAATTTACATATTCATTCTGAAAATACGTATTATTTTCAATGACATCATGTGCCAAAACGCCCATCACCTCTTTCATCAGTGTAAACCCCAGCCATAATGTATCCGTTAGGATGGAAAGAGAGGAGGGGATGAAAAACCAGCATCTTAACTGTAAATGTGTTTTATATGACTTTGTTGTCAAAAGACCATTTTTGCCACAGTGTAAAATGTCACATGAGGAAACTCCCAAACATAAACTCTGATAAGTGACCAAATATCCAGTATGAGACCAACCTGGGACACCCTGTCTTTGTAGGAAAAAAAAAAGGAAAAACGGAACTGCTGTTATCTCATAGAGACCACTGTCAGACCACCTTACCTAGATTCCCTGGTGGCGAGCAATGACCTTTTACCAGACTGTGTATGCCCAGCAGTTCTGAAGTTGGGGTTACTAGGGCTAGGCTAAAGTCCACTAACACCCAGACCACCTTTTAAAGGAGAGAAGCAGAGAATTGATTAGTAGGCGGGGTAGGGTGGATTGGTAGCAGAGAAAAGGGAGAGAGGGAAAGGCCACACCATTCTAATAATACAAATTCCTGCCAAGTTATGGCAGGAAGCCAGCTGCCTGAACAGTAGAATGATCGCTGATTACCTTTTGCTCACTAGCATCAGTTTGAAATAAATCCTTGTTCCTGTGAGGTGTACAGTCCCACTGGGCAGGGAAGACTCAATCCTTGACTCTCACAAGGAAGATAGGAAGGCAGCCACACATTAGAATAGGGGAGGGATTTTGGTTTTCTCTTACGATACCCGTTGAAAGAAGCACTTGTTAAAAACAAGCCCCCCATCATGTGGCTGAAAGAATGGGATGTGTCTAATATTATACAGGTAGAAGCCAACCTAAGTGTAAAACCACCGAGAGATAGACAAAGAAGTCCAGCACGTGGGGATACAAACGTCCGTGTTTTACTCCTGATAAAAGCTGAATTGGATAATGGGGTTGAGATCTGCAGCGATGATGGGCTTCCTGATGCTGGACCTGGGGGTTGAGCATCCAGCCACAGGCAGCTCCGAGGACCACAGGCTTCTTCCTGTGGCGCCTGTATCCGTATGTACCACATCACACGTGGAGAAGCAGGCGGGAATGAGTACAGGTGACCCTCGAACATTGCACAGGGGTTAGGGGCCTGGACCCTCTGCAGGATGAAAAATCTGAGTATAACTTTACAGTTGGCCCTCCCTGTCCCCAGTTCCATGTCCGCAGATTCAATCAAGCATGGATGATGCAGTATGGTAGTATATATAAATGGACCTGCACAGTTCAAACCTGCGTTGTTCAAGGGCCCACTGTACCCTGTACAGGCAGGCTGGTTCACTTGCTCCTGAAAAAGAAGAGAATGAAGGGCTAGAGCAGGGCCAGGAATTTTGGAGGAAGATCCCACCTCATGGAAACCACAAGGATGGAGATTACTAACATAGATAACACTTAGGTACCTCACCTGTAAAATATCAAAATTTAAATTCTTTTAGCCTTCAAACCTGTCCTTCTTTGGTTTTTTCCTTCCCATTTTAATAAATTCGCAGACCAAAATCCTGTAATTTTCACACCCACCATTCCCCACCACCAAAGCCCACATGTAGGACAGCAGGAAATCCCATTGTTTCAACATTCAAAATTGACCCACTTTTATTCATTTTCACTGCCACCATTCAAGTGCAGGCTGCCTGAACGATGATAAGAGCCTGTTATGTCAGTTAAATATGGTGTCCACTTGTAAGTAATAGAAAACCCAAGCAAACTTTATCTTAAAAAATGGAGCATTTTCTTTTTATACCCAGTGAAACCCAGATTTGTTGGCACTGATTCAGTGGTTTAAGGCTGTCAGGCCTGAGGTTTCTGTGATACTATCAATATTAACCTTCTTAGATAGTTGTCTAAGAGGGCTGCTGTTGCTCCTGCCATCACATCTTGTTTTTACAAGCTGGAATCACATAAGAAAAAGGAGAGGAAGAAAGGAAGAGGAAGGGGTTGCACCTTTAGAGCAGGAAAGCAAATTTGCGCAAAGATCCCCAATAGGCTTCAATTTATGTCTTGTTGTGCAGAATTATTACATGTGGCCATGCCGAGCTACAAAGAAAATGGGAAATATACTTTTTGACTGGGCCCATTGCTCTCCAGAATAAAACTGGAGTTCTCCGAGTTAGGAAGGAGGGGAGAATGGCTACAGAGAGACATTTTGCAGTTTCTGCCATGTGTAATTCCTCCCTTTCCACCTTTCCTCCAGCTCAATCTATTTTTCACACATTGTCTGACATGAGTCAGAGCACGTCTTCCCCACTTAAATCCCTTGAGTAGATTCCCATTGCACTTACAATAACATTCATCCTCCCGAGCCTCAAGCTCTCCGTGCTTGCCTCTTCAACGTCAGCTCTCCCTCACCTCATGAGGCATCATCTCCACTGGCGTTTTTCCTGCCGAGCCCGTTAAAGCTACCTCCCACCTCCGAGCCTTTGCACATCTGTTCCCTCTGTCTGCTGTGCTCTTCCCTGTACTCTGCATGCTTCCATCCCTCTCATCCTTTAGGTCTTGGCTGTAAGGCCACCCTTTCAGAGAGGCCTTCCTGATCCATCCTCTCCTAGCAGGCTCACCATTTCTGCATCTCATCAGGTTCCTCGGGGCGCTTATCCAAATGGGTATGACTTAATGAATTCTCTGGTTTTGGTTTATTATAATAAACGTCACAAAGGAAAGGACACGTCTCTCCTAGTCGTCGATGTATATCAAGTGCCTGGAACATGGAAATACGCAACAAATATTTGGTGGATGAGTGAGTGAATGAATGAGTACGTTGGAAGGAAGGCAGGAAGTAAGGCTGAAACAGTAAGCTCAGAAGTTTCCAGGAACCTTGTAGAACAGTTTGGCATCGGTGTTAGCACTGTCTGTGGGTAACAGAGTTTCACCTTGCATGTGTAATCAAACAAGCTGAAGAAAGAGCTCACCAGCTATGCTCTTGTTGGAAACTGCTATATTTTACCAGACACTTGGTAACAGGCTAGAGGATGGTAGGAGAGTTGGGGTGGAAGAATAAACACAGAAGTTCATGTTGACATCACCCCAGTTGTCACTGTCTGACAACCTGTACCTTCCCCATCTCCCTATTACTGTTTGCGAGATTCTCCCCCCCCCCCCCTTAACCCTGTAATTTGATTCTGGGAAGTATTTCAGCAGCCAGCAGATACCAACAGGGATTGTGAAAACCCCTGCTGAACTTGACAGGCCCCCAGAGCTGTCCAAGGGGTACACGCCCCAGCCACAGAGGCCCTGAGGGGCCTTCGTGTGAATCCTCAGTAGCCGGGACCCTTCAGGATGACTTGAAGATGGCAGATACTTTCAGTGTGAGCCTCAGCTGGAGTTAAGCCTGTGACCTAGAACGGGAACATTGCATAGCTCACTGAGCCATCTCAGAATTTTCCATTCGTTTTTATGTGCTTTTACAAAGACGACAATTCCCCAGATGCAAAGGGGAACCAAATTCTAACGTGAAATTCACCATAAAAATATTAGCAGTAACCTGACTAGCCTGGTAGGTGTGTGTACATTTCCTCATCCTTTGAATTTTGAAATAGATCTCATGTCATGTCTGGTGGAGTTATGTTTGTTCGTCTCCACCGCATTTTCTGCTTCCCCAGATGGCTTCAGGGTGAGTTTGGTGTCCATACACGGAGCTACCTCTAAAATAATAGCTGCGGAAGTCCACAGCAGTCGACGTACTTGCCATATTTTCCAAAAGTAGAACCAGTCATCCCCCCACTTATCAGCTTTCATATTTCTGGCAAACACCACAGGAATCCCATTTGGCTTTGTCTTTTAGAATTAGATTAGGATTGTCAAGCACTGGGATTCGGGAATGACATCTCGGCTCTCTTTCTCCAGAGTGGCTGGAAATTTCCTGGTTATTTGACAGTTGCTCCCTCCCACGTAAAAGATCCCCACAATGTCAATGTTACGCTCCTAGAATTCCATGGCAGCCTCTCCATTAGAAAGTCAAGTTTCAGGGAGTCGTTCCTGGGCGGTTTGGAAGCAGGTCTATTGTTGAACTAGTTTATTACAGCAAGTAGGGCTGGCCCGGTGTCCTGAAGAGAGGGCCCACTGAACAACTTC